ATTTCGCTTATATATTTAGCTCTGCCATCACGTAATGTCGCATACTGCTGTTTCTGATGTCATTTAAAAAATAAAAATAAAAATAAAGAAATATATATATATATTTAGCTTAAAGCTACATGAAAAAATAAAAAAATAAAAAATGGATATGTGCTTTGTGAACACTCATTTTCATTAAAACCCTGAATCCTCTATAACTTTTGACTGACTCTACAGATGGCAGAAATTATTTATACATGAAAGGTCCAAAGTTACAGCTAAGAGGTTAAACGAAAGAAAGAACGTTGTGTCATTTGTGGCAAAAGCACAAAATGATATAAAAAAAAAAGTCTCCACTTTAAAATCTGCCCCATGCAAGACATACATGGTCAATTCAGAAATGATTAAAACATAACAATCAATTAGCATCATTACCAGAAACTCAATAAATTAAGAGGACCAATCTTAAATGAAGTCAGTTATTTATAAAATGCAGTGTTTCTACTGATGTACACCGTCCTCCAGGAGTGGATTTAAATGTAACATGGAAAAGATGGAACCTGCTACCTTTACAGATTATACAGATTCATCTGTCTGGCAGCTAAAAATAACAAAGACATTCTGAGTTGTTAAAAAAAATAGATATTGATATGGTGGAGCAGGTTGTCTAAAAATCTCACTATTAGTGGTTAGAACCCCAAACCCTCCACATGATCTCTATTAGACCATTTTAGATTTCTTCAACTGAGATTATGAAAATAAACATGTGCTTCTCAACATGGTTTGAATTTTCAAGGGCTTAAGGGACTGTTTTAAATATCTTCCAGCAGAAACGTACGGTGGCCCTGAGAGGCCAAACGGGCTGCGACTTAAGAAAAAAACAGCAATAAGAAAAATGCTACAAAAGCACACAAAACACAACGGAAATAGGGAAAAACAACAACAGAAACAGGGAAAAAAAACCAGAAATAGGAAAAAACAGATTTCCTAAAGCACAAGGGAAGTGTTTCTGGGGAGACAATAACCCGACGGACCAGTTGCAGGAACCCAAAACATGGTAGGTGTGTTTTATCATGATTCATATAATACTGATGACAGATTTTTATGCTATTATGCTAACGCACTTACCTCTCATCTTTTCTTTCCTCACCAAACCGAGAGATCCTCCACTTCTTTTAAGTGCCTCCCAGCGCAGTTCTGAGCATATTTTGGTTCCTGCAACTGGTCCGTCGGGTTATTGTCTCCCCAGAAACACTTCCCTTGTGCTTTTGGAAATCTGTTTTTTTCCTATTTCCGTTGTCGTTTTTCCTATTTCCATTGTGTTTTGTGCACTTTTGCAACATTTTTCTTATTGCTGGTGTTTTCTTAAGTTGCAATCCATTTAGCCTCTCAGAGCTACCGTAGAACAATCTTAAGCAGTGATTGAAGTGGCAGTAAATCTGAAACTCTGCACTGAAACCATGAAGATGAAAATCTTTGAAAGTAAGACCGTCCACACAGTATACGGCATCAGTCTGAGGTAACAACACACTGCAGCAGTCATGGTAAGGTTAGTGTTCAGTGGTCAGTGTTTCTCACAGTTTTTCCGCCATCTAGTGGAGAAAAGAAAACCTTGAATCAACCTGTCGTCTTTACTGACTTTGCATACAGCACAACAATGTGGACAAAGTGGGAAACTGCACTTCTTTAATTATGAAGGATATTCTTAAACACAGGTTTAATAAATCAATAAATCAAGATCAGGTAATCTAAATTCAGAAAAATGTTTGGTAAAATAATCTGCTTTGTGTTGTCTGCTGTGGACGCTGGATTTAATTTGGAGGATGGCTATAAATTGCACAAACTGGTTAGATCCTGCCATGCATGTATCTTCTGCTTCCCTGCACAACTACATGTGCTATGGCAGTTTAATCCATGTCTTTTTTGTTTGTTTGTTTCTAAGATAGACAGACACAAAATATCGGACTATAGACTAATATAGATAATATATATAATCAAGGCCCTGGGACTAAATCCCCCCCTTTTTAAATTTGTTCAATCTATCAGTTTTGGCTCTGAAAAACTGCAAAGTTAGGGATTTGAAGACGGATGACACAAATCAATATACCCACTTAGGGTGGCTGACATGATAAATGCCACTTTAATTAATCAGCATGGCCCTCTGAACATTGAAAATTGAGTTCAGGCGATCATTAGACTAACAATAGTAACTTTGTAACAGAGCATTCCAAAATCTCCAAAACATTGATTCTGTTCATCTGCACGTAGCGTTTTGTGGGAGAAATGTTTTGTCACTCCTCCAGGTGACTTCTTCAGTCTCAGCTGACTGCAGGTTTCCCAAATCTTATAAACAGTACATTTGCATAATGACTGAAACCAGCCCAGTGAAGGAACAAAGAGCTGGGAGGTCAGTTCCTTAATTTTAATTATGCGACATCGAGGATGTGGACAAGTGGGTGAAGAATTTGTCTGACAGACAGCTCACCCAAACAGAGAAAAACATCCTTGCTAAAGGGTTGAATTTTGCTGTCACACCGAGACAAATCCCGCTAGTGGAACTAATCACAGCCACAGACACAGCAATTCGAAACAACAATATTGCAGAAGTGGAAGCAGAGCAACTACGGAGGAAAGTTTCGGCCTGTCTCAGCAATGCAAAGCCCCCAGCATCCAACATCACCATAGAGGAGAGGAAGGCACTCACATCACTTAGTAATGACAACAACATATGATCCTTCTGGCAGACAAGGGTTGGTGCACAGTTTTGCTAAACCAGAAAGACTATCATGAGAAAATTTTTCAGTGATGAAAATACTTACGAGCCCCTGAAACGAGACCCAGGAAGAGGTTACAGGAAGAGGGTGATAGACTGAAGCAGTTGGAACAAGACAAGGCTATTGACCGGAACTGATACCACAGGCTATATCCAAGGGAATCTACACCAAGTCTGTATGGTTTACTGAAGATACATAAACAGGGTGCACCTGTAAGACCAATTGTCTGTATGATCAACTCTGTGACCTATAAAATTTCCAAGTTTCTGGCTTCGATCCTCAACCCGCTGGTAGGCAGCTCTGAACACCACATCCAGAACACTTTGGATTTTGTTGAGAAGGTGAGAGATGTCATTATGGAGGCAGATGAAACCATGGTCTCGTACGACATTACATCTCTCTTCACTTGCATCCCAGTCACGGAAGCGTTGGAGGTAGTTCGTAAGAGATTACAGGACGACCCCAACCTCAGCAACAGGAAAGAAGGACAACCGCTGCCTAAGCGAAAACGTGTAGTGATCCCATATGTGTCAGGAGTATAGAGCAGTTGAGACGCATATTTCTAAACACCGGGTCTCTGTGGCGTTTAAACCCCAAAACATGCTGCACCAAAAATTGGTCCACCCCAAGGATCAGGTCCCTCGACACAAACAGAGTAACATAGTGTACGCTGTTAAGTGCCAGGAGAATTGCCAAGATTTATACATCGGGGAAACCAAACAACCTTTGGCAAAGCGGATGGCACAACACAGAAGAGCCACCTCGTCAGGCCGGGACTGCAGTCTATTTACACCTACAGGCCAGTGGACACTCTTTCAGTGATGAGGATGTACACATCTTGGACAGGGAGGAACGCTGGTTTGAGGGCGGAGTCAAGGAGGCCATTTATGTGAAAAGGGAAAGACCATCTATAAATCGAGGAGGGGGGCTAACGGTACATCTTTTGCTATCTTACAATGCTGTGATTACAGCCATTCCCTAACTCTCTGTGAATGGTACTCATGGCCATTGATCAGTGGGCTTTGATCAGTGGTTGTTGATCAATGTTCATGAGAATTTGTATAATTAAGGTTAAGGAACCTCCCAGCCCATTGTTCCTTCACTGGGCTGGTTTCAGTCATTATGCAAATGTACTGTTTATAAGATTTGGGAAACCTGCAGTCAGCTGAGACTGAAGGAGTCACTTGGATGAGTGACAAAACGTTTCTCCCACAAAAACGCTACGTCCAGATGAACAGAATCAACTTTTGGAGATTTACTTACCTGGATGATTGAGCATGCATCAAGGAGCATTCCAAAAGTTCTCTAAAAGCATCCAGTACCCCATTGTGACAAATTGAAGAAAAAAAAAGTGTACTTAAAATTATTGGAAATTTCAAGTAAACAAGATGACAAAACAAGTGAAGAGCTTTGAATACCCTCTATGAAACCCTCTGAATGACCTCCAAGGCTGAGCCCACATTCTTCAGAGGAAGCTCCCTCCTGCTCCTTGTTTCACTCACAATCTACAATCTTACTCTTTGAGTAACTACACACAACTACTAAACCACTACTTTCCCAAAATAAATTCCATTTAAGACATGAAAGACACCATGTGGGAGTGTTTGTCTGTGGTTGTGTTTCTTAGTACATCATTTCCTCAGAATAGCCTGTTTAGTTTCCACATTTCCTCTTTTTGTGACAAACTACAGTATATAAGATCACACAAGCGTCAGCCTAACAAACTTGCTTAGAGCACTGATCCAGAGTCAGATTTGACGCCTTTCAGCTCGTGAAGATGAGTTCCACTCTCTCCATCAGCCGCTGGATTTTTCTGTTCTGTCTGCCTGTTGTGATGCTCGTC